GTGTAATAGCATACACACACACATGCATTTGTGGGACAACAGGTGCTTGTAAAACGAGCACATATTCCCAACACTTTCTGATTGGTCAGATGTTAAGTTTGTTTGACACGCAGGAAAATTGTTGTCTCCAAAGCAAGTTTATTTTCTAATTACATCAATTGATGCATCTCTGTTGTCAGGGATGTCATAGTAGACCTCATACAAAGAGGAATCCAAATGTTATAGGTAATTTAGTAGTTTTCAAAGGTTACATAAATGTTCACTGCCGATTCGTCCATTGACCAAAGTAACTCTAACAATCATTAAATATATAAAAGTAAAAAATGTTACAAATCTATACACAGTATATAAATGTTTTTTTATACTTTTTTTAAGAACCAGTACAATTTTGCTCAGGCTCAGTGTTCTTATTTTTTTTTCCAATTTCAGGCTAATAATGTTCTGTTGTATTGTTCTTATTTTACACTATACCGTACAATCAGTGACCTCTCTTGGGGATTGTATGAGAACGGCTGGTTTGTGGGGGAAATTTCAGCATCAGTTTAGCCGAGTATTTTGTTACATTCCCCTGGAAAGGGGGCCCCCCATCAACAAGAAAACATCACTCTAGGGTGCATCGCCCTACAAAATTTTTGTTTTTTATAAGCCCTAAAATAACCTCTGAGGTGTTTTGGGCAAATCAATTATTTATTTTTGTTTCTTTCCAAAAGTGGGGGGGGGGGGGGGCGCCACAGTTTCTTTCCAAAAGGGGGGGGGGGGGGGAGCGCCACAGCCGGCCCAGCCCCACAGAACTTGTGACTAGCCTGATTTGTTGGCTTACTTAGGTTTTTTTCATAAGAACCTTGTTTGATATCTTACTTCAGCAATTTGTTATTTTTTTAAGCAATTTCAGCCTGGGCTCTTATAAAATGTGTTCTTATAAAAAAAAATAACTCAATTTGTTATTTTTTAAGCAATTTCAGCCTGTGTACTTATAAAATGTGTTCTTAAAAAAAACAACTCAATTTGTTATTTTTTTAAGCAATTTCGGCCTGTGTTCTTATAAAATGTGTTCTTACAACAAAAAAAAGTGTACTAAATTGTTTAGGTGATTATAAAAGTGGTGGCAAGGCCTGAACCCTGTTAGCTGTACCTAGCAAACAGGCCTATTATTTCTGATAATTCAAAACAGTCTTCTAATGTCTCAAAATATGTTTATCATTGTTTAGATACAATTCGTTTGGCTGTATCAATGTTTAGCATGTTGTTCTAAACCTAGAGAGTATGTCTACGTCATTTCCATCATTTCCGGTAAAAAATAGTCTTAAATACATGTGAAAACACTGTTATCACAGCATATCTTTATCATTGTTTATGAAGTCTATTAGTTCAGTTGTATTTTGGATATTGATATGACGACTAAAGCTAATATGTAATAGAGTCATATCCATGTGACTTTTGGGGTTTTGATTATAATAAATTTTATATATAGTACTGGGAACTTTGTTATATAACAAAAAAATAAATAATAATTTTAAAAAAATATCAAAATCATCCCAATTCTTTATTCCATTCTTTTTTCCTTTGAACATTTTGATCATTTTTTTGGTGCAATTTTTTGGCATCTTGAAATTTCTCTTATTAATATTTGGTATTTTTGCATTTATTATTATTATTATTATTATTATTTATATGGCTAAATTAGCAGTATTAACATGTATAATTAGATCATAATGCTTCATCTACAAATTCTAATGACAATCTCTGGTGATACATGAATGTTTTTATATACATACTGAACAAAATTGATTAATTTCTTATTTTGCAGCAAAGTGTAAATCAACTAATATTAGCCAAATGAGACATCAGTAATAATTGTTCTTTTTCAGTAGCTAGTTATGGTCTATTCATTTCTTAAAGCAGCGGTTACACTACTCATTTCATGTAACCCTATAATCGTACAAACAATCGCATACCCATTTGCATGTACAAACAATAACCAGGTTGGAAACTCAAGCATTGCCAATTAAAGCATAGTTTTTCCAGGATGTTTACACTTTTAAAAGGAATAAAGGGATGAAAATATTGATTGTAATGAACACTGTTATTAATATTAGTTGTGAATGTAAAAATGTATACATGTGTGTATAATGATTTCGATTCGAATACTAACTGGTAGTATCGATATCGATTGAGAATTATATATATCTTCCAGTATCTTCTTTCTATTTATAATTTATTGATTAGGCTAACAATGATGGTTATTCTTGATCAGTATCATAACCAGGCAACCGGGTTCACTGAAATATCTGTCAATTATATTTTCATTCTGTTTAGTTCTTAGTACAGATGATAAAAAATTGCACATTAGATTATTAGTATTAATTAATCAAATACTGTATATAATTGATATTATCATGGGTCAGCCAAAATAGTAAAGTTTTTTTTTTACTTACAAGACAACTTAGTATTTTTAAATTTTGAACAACTTCCTTTGAGTAACACCAGTATGCTCAACATATTAGTATTTTTAACATTCATAAATCCCCCAAAACCGACAGAAACAAGTTCGAGTGAGGAGGATAATTCTGTTCTTGGATATGTGGCATTTGAAAATAGCCCTACTTGTATTATCTATATTATTTATTTAGTTTAGGAGTTAATCATTCAATCAACAGGAGATTTCTATAGCGCCATTATCGACAGCAGATTAAAATGTTCACTGGCGCAGTAATGTTGACATTTCTTAAAGTACACAGAATGAGATTATTAATACTGAGATTCTAGATTTGATTAGTTTGCAGGCATCAGACTTTCTGTTCTGAAAACTCCTCACCATAGGGCCTGCGGCATTCTCCCCTAGAATTTTTTCCCCTAAATTCCCCCAAAAAATTCCTTCTCTGCCATTTTAGTGTAGTACTCTTACAACTCAAAAATCTTTTAAATACTGTATCTTTATTTTTATGAAGAACAAATCAATTTGTGGGACAGAGGCAAGGCAGCGAGCACATCCAGTGTTAGCTCAACTAGTTTGACCGAGAAAATATGAAAGTATATGCTATGCTATATTAGCTGCTGAATATTAAAGCAGTAACAGTAAAGTCTAAAATTTTCTTTTTATTAAAGGTGTTATAATGAAATTCCAAATAAGGTCATATAGATAGATACGTTGAACAACATGAATGCATACCAATTTCAAGTACAGTACAGTAATTTAATTTGAGTGTCCTTTTAGTGATTTAATCTTGTCACACTGAAGATTAGTGGGATTACATGGGAGTAGTGAAGGTTATGATTGACGGTCCGAGACATTCTTTGATCATGAAGTGAGGTTGAATGTTTGTTGAATAGACTAGACCACAATTGAGGGATGCTGGCCACAAGTGACATCATCTGGGATAATCATGGTATAACAAATAACAATTTAACAAGTAAAGCAACCTTTGAGTCCATTCATATTCTGTATACGCCTACAGTATAATAATCCTTATTGGGTCTAATCCTAAAAAGGTTTAAATCTTCTGTAATGAGCTAAAAAAAATAAAATATAATTCATTATATGAATTGCTCTTGCATATCAAAATAATAAACTTTCAATTAATATTTAGAATGATCAGAAGGGAAGGTGTTAAACGGTACATATTGTAATATATTCTAACAAGGACATTTTTTAAGACGCGAGTTTGGGTGAAAAAATATCATAGGAATGATGCTCAGTACATTCCCAAATACTAGCGAGTGATTCGGGTGGGAATCGCACCCACGACCTCCAAGTAACTAGCCTGATGTCTTAACCACTAGACCACTGAGCTTGCGCTTGGTGGCTAGGATGAATCCAATCCCCAAATAGCAGTGAGTACTGCAAGTGCTAATAAGATGTGAGTTTGCATCAGGAAAATATCGTAGGAGTGATGTTTTGCCTACCTGACGTGTTATTTTAGGAAGGAAATTTTTTATAGTTTAGAGAACTTTAACTTGTGTTTAGAAATACTTTAACTGTGGTTGAAAAAGTTTCAGACTTCACATTCCCTTCCCCTATATTTTCCCCTTCCTCCTACAATTTTTTTTATCCACCTCCAAAAAGAAAAACAATCTCCCAGTTTTTGTCATAAATGAAAACCTCTGTGTAAAATCAATATTTTTTTCTCTGGAGTTTTTTTTTGTATTTTTATTCCATAAATGATTATAATGAGCTAAACAATATTTCATGAAGTTGCATCATAAATTTTGGACTAATAATTAATATATTGTATATAGCTGTCTCTCCTTCTTCAAACTTATATAGTTATAATTAGAATGCATAAACAGGAAGAATAATTAAGGAAGTGCAGTATTGTGCAATATAATTCACTATTATATTATAAGTCCTTTAATTAATGAGGCTATGTGAGGTTATCAGCAAATCAAGCGTTTAAGTTCACAGGTGATTAGTGTGACATTCAAGGTTAATTAGTCTGTGCCCTTCCTAGCTGGCATCATCATCTTAATTGTATACCAGCTGTAAGACCATTGTACAGTGATGAATAATTCATCTTACATCCTCTTTAGACTTTGCTCAGTTAAGTGCAACGACGTCAAACAAATGTTTCAATATAGTACATGTACTTTGATCTCGTCCGGCTCAAATTTAAAGATCTTAATTCATACCAAAGATTCAATACTTTTAAATAATTTAATGTTTTCTAAAGGAAATCCATGGGGTATACCTTATTACCCTCATGTTTATAATGAGTTAATCTGAACAGAATTTAATTTTAAGTGCTTATTATCAAGTACCGCAAATGATTGGATAAGCACCTCTCTTGGATTAAATAAACACCTCTGTCCAATAAGCACTGTACCTAACAAGATTATTTTTGCTAAGCGTGAATCTCAAACACTGTGGGCAACACTGCACATTTTATATAATATATATATATATATAATATAGATATCCAAATAAATATAGAGTTGCTGCATAGACAGATTTGTATATATAAAATAAGAAGTCAAACAAAGTTCTGTATCTGTCTCATAATAGAATATTTATTGCACTAGTACTTTCGACATGTATATGTATACAAAATAAAATATTAATGTTATATTAATATGTAGCATGAGGCGCATGAGGTAATAATATTACAGGCAACAATGTTAACAGACAAGGAAATATTTTGTTGAATTTTCACTTTAAATAAATTATTCTTATTTCATGAGCAGACTAGATTAGTAAATAATAATAACGTGTACAGTGGCGGCACCAACAAAGTGAGAGGGGGGAGGTGGGTTATGTTTGAAAAGAGGACACCTGTCAGCCTAAAAAAAATATAGGAGTATTTTTGGTGCGAATGACACCAAGGATAACCCACTAAGTCCAAAGACTTGTTTCCATGGGGTCCTTCTGGTGGTGAATTGGGCAGTACACCAGGAGAAAATCTTTTCAGAAGAGTGTAGTGCGTTATTCAATGTGCACATGGGCCTTAATGCAAACGGGACCAACGGCTTAAACGTTTCATCCGAAAGGCAGTGCACTATCGTAATTCCAGGCATATGCTTTAAAATGGCACAACATTTTCCAGTTTTCATAGGCATCAAAATGCTTTAGTCCCATCCCGCCAGGGGTTTTAGTATAGTCAAGCATATATATTCTACAGACCACTGAATGTGAAGGAGATTTTTTGCAAATTATTGACCAGGCAGTTTCATACAATTTAAATATATATAAATATCACAATATATATGAAAAAAAGAGTCATTGTTTAGCAAATCAATACCTGGCACAGTTGACATCCATGAAGACCTATGTATAGTGACATATTACGAACCAGAATTGTTATTAATAACATCTCGTAAAATGCATCTATCGATTGTTTGCCTCGACTTGCACGCTAATTGTCATTTGGTTGCCTGGATGACTTCCGGGAGACAATACCGATCATTTCACTTCCTTCCGTTGACTTTCATCCCTGAATCGTTACTACTGCTCCAATTAGATAATCCATGTCTGGGTAAATTCTGTGAAATATCGGTGTTTGTTAATTAATCTTATGTCAATATGAGGTCGCAGAGCATGATAATCGTTTGTCATTACTACTACTTATAGCCACACTGTTACTATTTTTGGAACCAGCATTTGCTAGACAGAACTGAGTGTATTTTGTGAAGCCAGTTGTATAATTTTCTTATAGTACAATCCTAACATTTTTAAAAATCGTCTTTTATAATGGGTAAGATAACAAGGTGATAACTAATACTTTAAGCATTTTTTATGTGGTAGGGATGTTTCAACACTGAGTGTATTACATCATATATTTCCTTCATTTTGTTATTTATATAATTAGAAATTTAGCTAATATTGTAGAAATTTGTCCTTTCTCAACAAGACATATTATTTATTTATTTGAATTGCCATGGAAGGGAATTCTCCCATACCTCTTAAGTGAGGGTTAAATACAGTAAAATTATAATTTTGGAAATTGGAATTTACTATAACATTAATATTAGTGTAATATCTTTGCTGAAACTATAATCAAGGCTTTTCTTGAGTATATTTCCCACACAATTAAAATCGTAACGGTACTGGTTTGGTCTACAGGAACTCATGCTTTGTACAGGTCATTCAATTCATAGTAAAAGTCTTTTTATTGGAGAAAGCATACCTGTCGTTAGCCATAGTAGCCTAGGTCAGAACTAATTCCGACTATGTAAAATTGATTATAAGAGTAAAAAATATTAATCCAATTATTATTGTAGTGACACTATGTCCACGTTTTAATTATTGTTATTTATTTGTTAACGTTATTATATATATTATTTATATTTAATTTTAATGTATTGTTTAGTATGAATTACTACATCTGTGTTAAATTAATCTTATCTATTAAAATTGTAAATTTAGATAATATAGTACTATAGGCATAGCCGAGTCGAGGCCTAAACCTAGTGACTATATGTGTAGTGTATAAAATTATTAATAAAAAGTTTGAATAAATGCAAATTGTGAAAGAATAAAGGAAGGAAGAATAGGAAAGAGAGTTGGAGCAGCTGAAATATTTTCCGAAAATATACAATAATAGTCAATATGCCATTATTGCATTACGTTTTTGTAAAAATTTTTAGGTACAGCCTACACTTTTCATAATTTGACATCGAGCGCCATGACTGTTAAGTTTGACATAGAATTGCCCTTTAAGGTTTACATAAATATTAGGTTAAGCCTTGTTATAATGTGTAGGTTAAATAAATATTCTGTCTTGTTATTGATGTCATAAGAAAATAGGTTACCAGTAAGTCTTCTTATCGATATTGCATTTCCTGTTTCTAATTGTTGATATAGCACTCTCTATGATAAAATACTTTAATTACCATTCAACCACAATACAATAATAAGAGAAAGATTATTATTATCATGAGAGAAATTACTCTAATTGTAAATATACCATGGATATTTCTTTATAGATAAAATGTACATTTCAATGATATGCTGCAAATGTACAAATGTAAACATCAACGGATGAATGAATGCTCTTTAAGTGAAGCTCATACTACATGTGTTGCTGAGTATTAATCGACATTAAGTCACAGTGATCAATAATACTTGCCCTAACTAACATGTATGATTATAAAAAGCAAAAAGAAACTACCCTATCAGATGATACACAATTAATAGATGAATAATAAAATATGATTAATCCAGGGAGGTGTAAAATAAACTGTCGGAGATTTGTCTTTCTTCTGGTAGTGGTAGGCATTTTAAATGCGCCTCATCCTTCAGGTTATAAAGCGCAGTTCTTTTCCCTGGTCATTGGGTCTACATGCTGTAGTGTAGCTCTCCTAATCAGTGCAGGAGCAGGCAACCCCACCAGGTACTCATTTACATTAATTCTTGGGAAAGAAATGTTCCGATCAGTCACGACCATTAGAGAGGCTTGAACTGTCTGTTAGGAATGCTTAGGCTGTCCTACACAGACTTGGACACTTACCCTCACCCCACTCCCAGCACTCTCACTGTTTTTGGAGGCTATATCAGATTTTTGGGCTACCTAGGTAACATGCTAATACAATAGAAACCCCCTGTTTTTGGATACCCCTATTAAGGACACTTTTTCAACCACAAAATGAATGAAAGTATATATTTTAACACTACCCTAACTCCTATTCCCGAATGTGTCCCCTTAATATGGGTTCTACTATATAGAGTACAACAGTCATGTCATCACAACACCAGGTGGCGCCCTTTGTTGTCAACCAGACGTTGGTTACCATTCATTACGCCTGAATGACTTCATAATCTTAATGGTTTTGAATAGGCTTTCTGGAATAGGCACTTTAAAATCTAATACTTTACCATCAAAATGTACTAAAACACAAGAGCTTGCATTATATTAGTTATCGAACACACATTTAATCATCAATTTAAAAAATTACAAAGAAAAATTAAGATACAATTACATTAGAAATTGGGATCAATGGTTTGTCAGCGGAGAAAATGGCATCCGGTTGAACGCATTTTGTGTGTAGTAGTATCACACGGTATCGTGACGTAACACTGTAGTACTCTATTCTTTTAACAACTTGGCAGCACCACAAGTTTCTCTATGTTAGTGTGGTTTATAATCTAGTATTATCGTTCTACCTTTCCATCAACATTGTTCTTTCAATTTCTAAATTTGTAACATTTATCAAATGTTGAGTTACGAATTTGAAAGTGAAGGTTGAACAGGTTTCTAAGTTAAGTTAAGTTAAAATACCCTATGACAGAGGTGATTGTTAATTAAAACAATAAAGCGGTTAGCTGAATGGCATCATGTGACCTAACTTGGGTGTTGGATATAAACAGTCGACTGGCACCGCAGTGTTTTACTCGGCGATTGCTATGGCGGTCGTCCCTTGTTATTGCTGTGAAGATCATCATAATTCCCAGTACCAAATTACCAAATACTAAATTGATTGGAAATTAAACTTAAGAATTTTGTCTTAATGGCTTGCTAATGCTGTAAAAAATACTGGCCGCAAACATTGAGATTTTTTGACAAATGTTAGGCCTAAGCCCCTGCACATCTACGGCCTGGTTAGGTATGCATCATGGTCTTCGACCCGTGAACTATGCTGCAATGTTAGGGCCAGCTATAGGTTTATGAAAGATTTTAAATTTCAAAGCATACAATCCAAGGAGAACGCTAGGATAAGTAAATCAACACTATTTTGAACAATCGTATTGCCTTTACTTCTCAAATTAACAGTGGGTGGTTGTTTTCGCAACCATAACATTATCTTTTCCTAACATTATCTTTTCCTATGGACTGTAATGTTTTTCATGTATACCCAACTAAGGTCATGTGAACCGCCTGTCAACAATCATTGCCAAGTCCCTCTTTTCAACTCCATAAATGAAAGATAACTTATTGATTGTAATGTACAGTAGGATACAATAGTCTTCTTGAACTGTTTACACAAAATTTAACTACATACAATAATATATTATTCAATAATAATTTAAGTTATGACAGGGTAGATTACTGTTACTGCTGAACATTTAATGATATAGTGTTTTCCTTCTCATCACATGAGCTTACTATGTTTCTGTATTTATTTAAACCTATTTTAAAACTTTATATAATCATTATTATTATTTTAAATAACTCAAAATTTATTATTTTACTCATTAAGACAAATATACAGGATTATAAATACAGATTTTTTTTCTTAAATTATAAATGATTTTATTATTATGGACTTATTGGATATGTTTGGTTACCCTGATTATATTAATTGAATTTAATTAATTTTTGTATTTCATTCATAATATTTAATTGATTTTTATATATTTTATAGACTGTAAAAGATAAAAACAATAATTATTTTGTATCAAAAATCCTAACAAATTATAAATTGTTTTATTAATGGATTCATTGGATATGTTTTATTACCCCGATTATATAAATTTATTTAATTTGTTTAGTTCATTCCTAATATTTAATTGATATTTATATATTTTATACAGTGTTAAAGATAAAAACAATAATTATTCTATGCCAAAACAAAAGCTCATACGAAAGATTGATTTAAATTGAATTTATTTCATTTTTTATTTCATTAATAATATTTCAACAATTTTTTATACACTGCAAAAGATAAAAATAATAGTAATTATTCCAAACAGAAAAAATCTTACAAAAGCTCATGCAAAATGTCAAACGCATGAGGAAGATAAATCGCAGATCTGGAGACGTACGTGATATTCGAAAGGTTGTGGCCAGGAGATGATTATAGAGAATGTGTGGGCGGTAAAGCATTATAACGCATTACCATATCTTTTAATGTTATAACGATTATTGGATGTAGGCCTATCATGATATACTACACTGCAAAACTCACGGATAATAATAATTTGTAGACAAGAATAATTCCAGACAACTTTACATCACAACCTTCAAATTTTTTGATAACATAAATGCAACAATTTCCCTTTTTAACCTATGCCGAACTGCAATTAATTAGGCCAAGGAAAGAAAAGTAAATGTTTTGGGCAGAGCATTAATTTAAAAAAAAAAAGACAAACAGAATGTTGCTGTACAGAATGGATACACATTGCTTTATGAAGATGTTTAGATTCAGTCCTATTCCTGTATCTCTATCCTGTATCATCTTTAAATGTCACACAAATAATTTGTCAATTACGCCAAGGAAAGAAAAGTTAATGTTTTGGGCAGAGCATTAATTTTTTTTTAAAAGAAAAATATCCATTATTTCTTGTTATTTTCCAAAAATACAAACACCTGTTCGAATGGATACACATTGCTTTATGAAGATGTTTGGATTCTGTCCTATTCCTGTATCTGAATATCGTCTTTAAAGGTCAAACAAATATTGGGTTAAGCCTGGCATAAAGTATGGGTCAAATAAATATACAATTTCAGTGTTTGGTGTCATAAAAATGTAGGCTAATCCTTAGTTTTATTTGTTCATTTAGCACATGCTAAATTACCAAAGGTGTAAAACTTGGATGGCATGAG